TTGAAAAGATGTGGTTTTTAACGGTGATCAGATGTTTACCATAGTATCACTGATTCATACCTTTTTCCCACCAACAAATGTATAAAAAATTGTAAAAACTCAAATGATTCAGCCAGTTTTGGCGGTGAATAAAGATTATTATTATTATTATTATTATTATTAAAGCAAGTACCCGCTTTCTAAGTTGAAACAATATATAATTGCTCCTACTGTATGTTATAAGTACTTTAAGGATAGAAAATCAAATATGCACTAAAAAAACTAACGTTATGAACATTATGTTGTAAATGCTTACATTCCAACAAATGTTGTGAAGTTGTCAACGATTGTTGAAATTGTGAATACATACAATGGAATACACGAATCCCGAGTACAGAGCGTGTGGGCTATTGACGCTCTTCTGAAGCAGCAACGAAGAAGAGCTTTATCATACACGGCAACGAACACAGTACATACGAAACATATACAAGAACTAATGCAATGCTTACTAGATTTGTAGTTCGTTACTCGTACTGTGTTTGTTGCTGTGTATGAAATAGCTCTTCTTCATCGCTGCTTACAATGTAAAGAAGATAAATAAAAAGAAATTCAGAAGAGCATCAGTAAGAACGCACTGTAAAGAGCGTCGCTGGTATATTCGAGATGTATATAATCGTTGGAAACTTCACAAAATTCATTGGAATGTAAGAATTAACAACACAATGTTGTCAAAATCATAACCTTAGTTTTGTCAGTGTGGCGAGTCAATTCAAAATATATTGTCTTCCTTAAAGGGCCATTCGCAATCTACTTTTAGCTAGTTTTACCTATTTCTCCTGTTACGTGAAGTTGATTGTTTACGTACAAATTGTACCCACATTAACGTGAAGTTGGCTTCGTCATGTGCTAGTTTTCTAGTATTTCTAGTTTGGTGACTCGCTCCATGGTCTTTCTTTAAGAAATGCAAAAATAATTACATAATTTAACTGAAAAGATGTGTTTTATGACCAAATAAAAAATACAGTTATTCTTCGCCACCCTGTAAAAATATATAAATATGTACAAGCGTTCTCATTTTACTTCGTTATGATGAGTCACATTTTCCTATTTAAATACTACTTTATTTTATTATAGATTTAACCACACCCCCGTTATTATGGCCTCAGGACGAGAATTATGCTATGTACTATTAACTGGAGTTTGTCTTTGTTACGTAATGACATTCATTATATTAGCTCGTCCAACTGTTATTCGCTGTGCATTGTTGCGAGTTGGTCTGGGCTTGTGCCTAAGTCTTTGCTACAGTGCTATTTTCGTAAAAACCAACCGAATCTCAAGAATATTCAATTGTGGTGTCAAAGCGGTGTCAAGGCCCATTTATACATCACCAATATCACAAATAGCAATTTGTCTGTGTATGTAAATGCAGTTATTTCTCCTTCAATTTCATTGTATATTTCTTTTTCGGCCATTATATCTTGTACTCATTAGAATAGATTCAATGAAATCCTTTCCGTACTATCATTATGTGTCTCCGTATTTTTTTAGGTATTGTAAGTGTTCAGTTGGTGGGAACGGCTGGTTGGTTAATGTATGAGGTTCCTGACGTCAAGGAAATTCATCCGCAGCCTTTAACCGCTGTGCTCACGTGCAAGGTGTCAACGTTTTCATTGATTATGTCACTTGTTTATAATATGGTTCTGATTTTGCTGTGTACACTGTATGCATTCAAAACAAGAAAAATTCCGGAAAACTTCAATGAAGCTAAATATATTGGCTTTACAATGGTGAATCAAAAAATATTTTTGGTTTTATTTCTTACACAATTATGAAAATCTTAGAATAAAAGCGCTTGGTAATAGTGGAAGAAATGAAATATAATAAAATCAGTACAAAAAATCGAGATTTACCATAACTGAGTGTTTAAATGTGACCAGTCTATATATTTTGGATGGATATTTATCAAGGGACAAAGCAGTACTTGAATAATGATTCTAATGCAAAGTTAATGCCAAAAAATATTCATATAATGCCACTTAATACCACCTAATGCTATGCACAGAAACAAATATTCGAGTACGGTTACTCGCACTTGCGGTGTTAGCAGAGAGTCTACCCTTTAAAATGAGTTACGCACTCTATTTTACTCTATTTTTGGTGTTGATTTCATCCAAGTGAATACATCATAATGAAAGAAGAAATACATGTGTAGTCATAGCCGCATGCGTTCAACGTACATATGACTACACATGTATCTCTTCTTTCACTACGATGCGTTCACTTGGATAAAATTAACAAAAAAAAATAGAGTAAAATAGAGTGCGTAACTCATTTTGAGGGGTAGACTCTCTGCTAACACCGTAATTGCTAGTAAGCGTACTCGAATATTTGTTTCTGTGTGTGTACAAAAACAATGTCAAATGTACTTTTTCTTTCTTGAATTCGTCTTGCTTCTTGTTTTCAAAAACTTTAACATATTTTTTATTATAAACAAATTTTCAATATGAATATAAATAATTAATTTTCCTGAAATTGTAAACACATCGAATATGCGCCTACAGCTAAACATGGCTTCGATTCGCTGTACGTACGAATGTGCGAAGAAAAGAGAAGTACGATACTGTGACGTAAACAACGCGGCTACTCTGCATTGGTAGAGTTGACGCATGGTTGACATTATTTTCTATACATTGTTCTAAAGTCATTGTTCTAGTACTGCTTTGCCCTTGATATTTATCCCAGATATTTCAGAATATCTGGATATTTAACGCGAAAGCAATAGAAGCGATTGTTATGGTTATACACACAGTAAATAAATACATTTTCTGTGTGTACATTAGGGTGTTTCCACATGAAAAATATTAAAAAGTGGCTATTATCATTTTGAAGAGCGTTAAATTCTGTATAAGATGATTTGATTTTTGATACTGATTGGTTGCCGATGTCACTTCCTGGACTAAAAACACATTTGTAGATTGATTTCATGTCGCATTCACGCCAAAATCTGTAATTGATGAAAATATAAGATTGAACAAAATTAAAAACATGAAAAATAATTTTAATATCAAAACAATTGCCTAAATATTAATAAAAGTAACACAAAAACTCACAATTTTACCACAATAAACCAAAACAATGCAAATTCGCCAATTCATTTGACAGAATGACATTTGAAGCGTGATTCGCTCACGCATGACAAATGACAGGTTATGTGTCAAATGAATTGGCAATTTTGCATTGTTTTGGTTTATTGTGGTAAAATTGTTAGTTTTTGTGTTACTTTTTAAATATTTAAGCAATAATATTGATATTAAAATTATTTTTCATGTTTTTAATTTTGTTCAATCTTAAAATTTCATTAATTACAGATTCTGGCGTGAATGCGACATGAAATCAATTCACAAATGTGTTTTTAGTCCAGGAAGTGACATCGGCGACCAATCAGCATCGAAAATCAAATGATCTTATACAGAATTTTACGCTCTTCAAAATGATGCTAGCCACTTTTTGATATTTTCCATGTGGAAACACCCTAGTGTACATTGCTACAAACACCACAAAAATCAGTTCTATTATTTACGCATTAATATCCAGACATTCGAAAATATTTTGAATTAATATCCATCCTTGAATTCGAGTTATAGTGCTTCTGCCTGTAAATTCATGAAGATACAGAAAATGTGTCAGCTTTGTTAAAACCAAATAAATAAATAAAGAATATTAAATGGGCCTTGTATAGAATAGCTCTAGTTCAACTAACTACCGAATTTAAGTGTATATTCATAAATTTTTAAGCAAAAAGCAAGCTGTGTGTTTTGTATGATTGCAGAAGGCTATGCCTAAGTTTAAGATATTTGACGCATTGCATACCGTATTGAAATCGGTGCCATTACGCCGCAATAGCGATGCCGTGTATTACGCAGCATTCATGCATCTGTATTGATGGTTTGCGGTATTGCCTTCTGAAATCATACAAAACACACAGTCTGGCAAAAAGTCGCTATATCTCGAGTTTACGTCTCATGAAACTCCACACTTTTACCAGAATTCACAAACTGTTTTTATTCTAGGTCATTCATATAAAATAAGCAATTGACAAAAAATGATCACATTTTATGTAAAAAAATTATTCTCTACTGTAGTATTCGACATGTATAGTGTGGTTGGCATTTTTGCCCATTTATTTCGGAACGAATAACGATTACAAGGTAATATAAATTTTTCTATCTAATATATGTATTGAAAATGTATAGTCCCAAAGGCAACCCCTATAGAGTTTTGTATACAGTTCTAAGTGATTGTCAAAGGAGAAATCACATGGTGCACTTAAAAGGGAAAACCATGCAATATACATTTGGAGACAAAAAACCTTACACATTTTTCGGATTAAACCTTATAACTATTTCAATATCTACAATAGTACAAGTTAATTACAAATGTGAGATCATCAATACAAAATGTATGGTTCAAGCAGGTAGCCCCTAGGTCGCGTTAGGGTTTGGCATGTCGCCATGCCTCTCATAAACACGCCATTCCCGTGCTTAAAAGTCTATAAAAGCCATGAGAAAAATATATTTTTATTTATTTATTTATTACGAGACCTACATTTATTCCAATATGTGCATACAGCGAGCTGTAAGCATGCTGGTCAAAGTTACAATGTGGTATAAGTTCCACCCATGGTGCGTCTTTAGCAAAGAGACATTTACAGACAGGGGGTGGTGTTCATGAAAATACTTTAAACACCAGAATTTGGTCCGGAAAACCATGGCAAAACCGGCTTGATTGAAGATTTTCTTCCATTTCTAAAGTTGTTTAGCAAAAAAAGGTCTTCACTTTCTGTGAAAAATCCCTAGCAAATCGGAAGATTTCTCGGCAGCTGTCGGGGGAGGGGGTGTTAGCTCAGACAATTTAAGAGGGGGGTTATCCGGGCTTAGAACCCCCATGTGCCCATGTATGGTGAAAATCGTACGATTCCATCCAATTAAAACTTTTGTATTTTGTTTGAGTTTTTATGAAGTGATTAAAAATTATTTCGAATCCAATTGAATCACATTTACATCAAAACATTCAAACAAAACGAAGATATTCAGAAAGCGACCAAGCAATGTTCTCTTTTTTGTATTCAAAGCAAATTGAAATAGCAATTGGTAGTTTCTTACTATTTATCACGTTACGATACAATAAAAAGAACGAAGAAGCAGAAATAATTGAAAATTATTCATTATATTCCAAATTAATGCAAAACTTTGGTGAAAGTTTTTGTACTAATCGCCCGTTTTCGACCCATACCATTCTTCTCGTTGCTTTTTTCTTGTGCTCTACGCGTGGTGCTTTCATTTTTTGCGTTGATGTTTTTGCATCGCTACTATTCTTCCTTTGAACAACTAATAGAAAATTCAATTTATTAAGATTATTACCACTTTACATCAAGTAGAATGTTGTGTCCCTTTTACACAGATTGCATTTGAATTAAAATGATGCAAGTGAAAAACTCTTTCGATTTTTCTCATTTTAGATTCAAGTCTCCAGCATATGTATGTGCTTAAGTATAAGTGCAACGGTATCGTTGACGTGCTTGTTCTTACCGAAGGTGTACTTGGTTCTGTTCCAGCCGTATAAAAATGTTCGAAATGCTACCGGTGGCCTAAGTGTTAATCGGGTACGATTTAACTTTCTATATTTAAGGGCATATTAATAAATTCTTCCACTATATATCAGCGATCATTTTTTGAACGTTCTACTTGCTCCGGTTGGCTCAAGAAGTGAAACCAAAAAATGACGAAACGGACAACACTTTAAATCTTCAAATGAATATGATTCGTTTTTATTTCTATTGTTCGAAGTTATAGTTCATGTTTTAAAGATATATAGGGGAAGTGGGGGCTTTTGAGGCTCATATCTCGAAGGTTAGTTTGTAAGGAAAAAAAAGAAAGCAAGGTATCATTTGAAAGCTAGTTTTAATACGCAACTTTTGTAGAAGACACTTTTTTGTTTTAGTGACTCTATTCCAAGGGGAAAACCGGTACTGAAATACTAAATATACTCAGAAGTATTGAAAAGTACCGAAACGTATCAAAACATACCAAATAGGTATTCGTTTCAAAAAAAAAGTGAATATTTTTTTCGTGTTTTCGACTGTCTTTTTGGTGTTACATGGCAAGCTTGTATGAAACTCTCGGAGACTCGGTATAATGCACAAAAAAAGTGAAAAAATGTTTTTCGATATTTTTGTGCATTATACCAAAAATACAGTCGAAAACATGAAAAAATTATTCACTATTTTTTTGAAACGAATACCTATTTAGTACGTTTTGGTATGTTTTGATACGTTTCGGTACTTTTCGGTACTTTTCAATACTTCTGAGTATATTTAGTATTTCAGTACCGATTTTCCCCTTGCTCTATTCTATTGGCGTAAAATGAGAAATGTGCGGGCGAATCGACGCACCTTTAATTTTCATTCCATTTTCGCCGATTCAATTGTATTTCCAAACATTAGAAATCAGACACAGTGTTTAACTCAAGCGGTGAGCGCTATGAAGAGACAAAATGCGAATTCTCCTCATCTGTGCCATCTTGTATTCCATAGTTGAACTCAATTTAGTTACAATGAATTGAATCGAAAAAGAGAAAAAAAACAACAACAGTAACATGGCTACATAGATCTGTTGACCAGTGAGATACGTATAACAATGGAATGAAAGAATGAAGAAAGCGTATATGTGTATGTATGCATCAGCACGCATAGATGTACAGCTCTGTGTGGCCGTGCTACTGTTGTTGTTTTTTCTCTTTTTCATTTCAATGCTACAGAATTAAATTCAGTTTTTCGATCTAATTCGAACTAATGTGAGGTGGCGCTGATCAGCTGCGTTCGCATAAAAAAGTTCCCAATCTCATATACGCCAACCCCGCTTGGTTTAACTATGATTTAAGCTAGTTTTTAATGCATTTAAATCTAGGGGAGACACGGGCTTTAGTATTGCTAATTTTTCTTAGATTTTTTTAGTAAATCGCATATAAGGTGTACATTGACAGGACCTAATAAGTCCTCATTTTTCTTAGTTTTTTAAGTTACAAAAGTAATGAAAAATAGTGGAAAAATCAAAAAATATGAAGAAAAAATTGTGAAACTTTTTTAGTAAATGATGCAATTTTGTGAAAAAAAAATGATAAAAGATAAGGTAAATTCATTCTGAGTCTGAATCTGATGGTGGAAGGGCATAGCTGGCGACTGTCTTGCGTCGTTTGCTGATACGGCTCGGTGTCATGGGAGCTGGTTTCTTTTTGCTCGGCCATGCTTGCGTCATTGCTACCTTCAGTCCAGCCTCTAACTTCTTCTTCAAAGCTTCCACCTTCTTCTTCAAAGTTTCCACCTTCTTCTTCAAAGCTTCCACCTTCTTCTTCAAAGCGGCTACTTTTCTTTGCATTGTTGCTGCCTCTTTCGCTTCTTTCTGTGCTTGGACCTCTTCAAAAGTATCGTCCGCAGTCAAAATAGCACCTTTTTGTGGCTTTCGGCTGCATGTTGCTGTTTTGCGAGCTGGTGCCTTTCGGACATGGCCTCAAATTTTCAAGCATGGTTGACAAATCGAAAACTGAGCTACGAGGTGTTGAAGTCGTACCCATTCGAGGAAGACTATCTTCCATTTCTTGGTTGATGTCGGCAATGGTATCTGCAATAATACTTTGATCAGACCGATTGTGTGACATTTCGACTATGACTGAAGGCAGTGGAATTTCTTCAATTGAACTGCAAATAGGCCAATTTGCGTGCATCGACTGCTGATAGTCCAAAATAAATATTCAAAGAATGCAACATATAATCTTCAAGAGCTTGCTCTTTATTAATTCAATCTAGGGGATAGACACCAATTTCTATTATATTTAGTTTCATTTAATATTTATTGAGATTCTTTTAGTTTCTTCTACTTTCTTTTAGTATACAGACAAAAACGCATATATTCTGCTAGTATTTCTAGTATTGAGCCAAATGAATCGCATTGCCAGTGTGAAGACGTTTATACGGAGAACAATAGAAACCATTGTTCTCACTGAACGCAAATATTTTGTTTACAAAAATGTACCGTTAATCTCACCATAAAAACAGTACACAGAAAGAAAAAATGTGGTATTTTTAATTCAATTTTGGTAGATTTAATATAAAATCAACCAACAACGAATTAACATTACCATTTTTGACATCGCTGAGGCATATTTCTTAAAAGAGACTATCAGTTGAATAAGTTTTACCAATTGCTTCATTACATTCACCAAATTCATGGGCTAGCGTCATCTGTGGTTTCGAAAAGTTGTTAAATGTAATGAAGCAGTTGGTAAAACTTATTCAACAAATAGTCACTTTTGAAAAATATGCCTCAGAGATGTCAAAAATGGTAAATTTAATCCGTTGTTGGTTAATTTTATATTAAATCTACCAAAATTGAATAAAAAATACCACATTTTTTCTTTCTGTGTATTGGCAATGTATTTTGTCTGGATCGGTCGAAGAATCAATACGAAAATTTGTTCACAAATATTCTTTTAGTAGCTTCTAGTATACTTTTAGTTTTGTATAGTAAAAATGTGTGTCTACCCCCTAGAATTCAATGTATTAAAAAATTGAAAATGAGTTGAATAATGAAAAGTACATACAGTCTGACCACCTGTTGATTTAATAATGAACAGCGTTGTTCGCACTTGACTGATATTTGCATTTAATTCCGATACTTCTGGCTGCGGTGTAGACGAAGTTGATTCTACTTAGTTTGGCTCAGTCGATGCTGTTGCTACTGGCTCTGGGTGCGTTCGATTATGACGGTACTGAGCTTGGGGCAGCTGATATTGATGGTACTGGGCCTTGTGCGATCGATGTTGGTGCTATTGGGTCTGGTGTTTCTTGTGTACCAGCCATTTCCTCGACAATGATTTAATTTTCACGCGATGTATTGTCTTCAACGTTTTGTCTTGCATTAGCTCGTACATGACGATGCAGAGTCGGTTTAGGCACATTCATGGCCTGGAAATGCCTATGTTATTTACATCCGAACGAGTGAGACTCAAACATGTGCTTCTTCTTCAAAACAATACATACACACTAACTCACAAACATCAAAAGTATACGCCATAACAGCAGTGCAAACACAAATACATGCGCGCGCTACTCAGCTTCGTTTCTGTGATGAAGACTTATTGACTTCTGCTGTACATGTGATGCTTGTGTATGTATTGTTTTGAAGAAGAAGCACATGTTTGAGTCTCAATCATCTCCGCCCCTTGGGCACATTAAAATCTCTAGCAGCAGCACGATTGGACATTCCAGCAACAATTGCACGAAGAGCTCTTATAATTCGATCGGAAGGCCTTTCTCTATGTGTGAGCCTAAGGGCATTTTACTATATGCGAATGCCATTTTATACAGAATATATGAACATTTTCCTATTCATACATGAAATATACGAAGTAAAGTATATTCATCCGCATCAACATCTATGAAAATTCGTACATTTCATTCGCAACCATTCGCGAATGCCGCATACGTCTTGCTAGATGCGACAAACTGTCGTGTGACATTTGTACACACACATTGCTGTGTTCAGTTTGTCGTGGCAGTTTCAAACACAATGTCATTGTTCTCAACAAAATTTGAAAAACAGTTGAAGAAAAAAATACAAGATTATTTGTTGAATATTATTTTAGAAGCCGTATTCGATTTGAAAAGTGAGATTTTAGAAATAAATTCAGATAATATAAAAGAAATTGAAAGTTACGTCAATGAAAATAAAAACCTTTCACAAGGCACAGTTTACAGTGATTATATTACGAGAGGCAAAGATTTATTTACCATTTTAGAAAAATTTCATTTAATATTACCAAAAAAATATCAATATCGGCTTGAATCTCTGTCACCTAATCTGTCACTTTGACTTTTTGAATGTAAAAATATGACTTTTCATATGCGCTATCCGCAAAATGTGTATGAAACATTCGCGACCATTCGTTTCCATTTGCAATATATATATATGAAATATTCGCTCGAATATGGAACATTCGTATAAGTCGGAACCCCTTAGGTGGGAGCGAGTGTGTTTTTCCGTTGATTTCAAACAGGAGTTCTTATAAAATAAACGATCCAATAACTTTTGTGACATCACACTTTATATTCGGTTACTGGGATTTTAGATATTACTATTATTATTTGAAAAAATTTGACCAATTTTGGCACATAATTTATACATTTTTAAAAATAATACATTGGATTTTAATATATTCAATGCAGAAATGAAATGAGAAAATATTTTCGAACGAAAAGTCAATCTCCAAATTTTTGCCCAATTTACATTAACACCGATACACTAATTACTACTGTCACTGTTGTTCTCTTGTTTCTAAATCTATCGTTTTCTAAATTCTATACAGCACCTATTTAATAATAATATAATAATTAATAATTTATTTAGTTTATGTTTTGCCGAAATTCAAGATCAATTTTTATTAGTTCGGAAAATTTCGAATTTGTTTCAGTTAGCAGCTACGGACCCAAACCGCCCACCACATAATATGCGATTCTCAGGAACTCGTAGCCAAACTTTTCACTCAATGACATCATCAGCCATTACAAAATCTGGATCAAGTTCACGACTTAGTCACAGAGTTGTAAACAATACAGTTGGTGATGACGCCGTCGATATTTCTGTTCAAACCGACCTGGAAAACCAGCCTCAATTAATAAAAACAGAGCCGCAAGGTGATCAAATTATTATACACGGTGGCGCATATAATGGAGCCACTCTTAGGGGGTGGGAATTTTGAAAAAACCTTTGGGGGGTATGTTGGGGATAAAACATGAAAAATTTCTATCGGAGCAAAATTTGGAATTTTTTCCCAGGGGGTTGGGGGTGCCCCAATTTTTCAAAAGTTCATCGGATCAAAAAATAATGTACTACAAAGTTGTTCAGAATGACGAGAGAAATTTTTTTTGGACCCCTGCCCTCCAAGTCGTCCTACCCTTTAAGGGGGTCGGAGGTCGGGTTTTTTTTTTCCAAGAATTTCAGACCAAGTTTCAGTGCCTCATATGGGGTCAAATCTTACAAACTCGATTTTACACTTTTTTGGTCCAGAATTCTTGAATCACGTCGGGTTTAAATTAAAAGCAATTGTATTCAAATCATTATTTATTATTTCTATTAGATTTTGAATTTTATTTTTAAATATTCTCAGGTAATACCCAATCAACTCAATTGACAATATCTGCTGTGATTGATTCTGCAGAAGAAATGCCGTGCTGTAGTCGTATGTTAAATGAAACCAATCATCAACCATATGTAGAAACAAATGGCCATGAATTCATTAAAACCACCGATAATAACGCTCATAATACCGAAACCTTGGAAAGTATTAGCCGTGTAAGTAGTAGTAGTAGCGTACACAACCAAAACAGAAAATCGTCGATAAATCTAGAATCTGGAATCATTGGAAAAATTGACTATAAGGAATTGACTTCAAGAAAAACAAATTAAAGCACATTATGTGAACGAAAAATACTTACCATATTTCTTAGATCTCGAAAAAATAAGATTTCTATTAATCGCAAAGATTAATTACTACAATTAAGCATTGTAGATGAAGTGCTTTGTAATTTGAAAATGAGTTGGCGAAAAAGTGAGTCTTCTGTCAAACTCAAATGTGCATTTTAATTCGAGTAAAAGGGGCAACTGTATAGAACTTATAACTTAACTTCACCAACACCGTTTTCTACGTGAAAATAAAAAGAAACGAAATGGAATAAAAACATTAAGTTTCAAAAAATCATACTAGAACACATCAAAGCAATTGCTGGAGGTATTGAATAAAAAAGACGTCTATTTGCAAACATATCAGAGAAAAGTAATTCCATCTTACCACAACCACCACCACCCTAATTTGGCAGTACCATAATTTGTTGTCATCACGACAAAGAAAAAAGACGAAGAGCCTTTATACCCACCTACTAGAGGTGCCCACTGAACCGAACTGAACAGTTTATGTTCGAAAAATATTATATTTTCATGTTCGTGTTCGTTCGGGTTCGGTTCAAGTTGATCGCAAAAAAAATATTGCAATTATATTCGTTCACGTTCGGTTTACGTTCGGTTCACGTTCATTTTAACTGTTCAAAACTGTAAACTTCAAAAGATGGTTGTTGGCCCTTGGGAAAATTTAAAAAAATTCAAAGCCTTAAAACCTCATTAGATTTTTTTTCCCAAAATATCAATAAAAGTGGCAACCAAATGCAAACTTTAAACACTTTCAACATATTTCAAAATATCTTAATATTTCCCGAATATCAGGTAGTAATTCGTTGAGAGATAAAAAAATTTAGTTTGGATATTGAGGCAATTTAAATAGTTTTTTTTTCTGTTTATTATCACTATTTAAATTCACAATTATCAAATATGAAAAATTTTAGGAACTGAAAGATAAATTTTTATGTTTTTGATAACTAAGCGATTGAAATGATTTTTTTATTCTTATTAGCACAGTTTGTTTTGAATAGAAATCAGAAACTATCCAAAAATAATCAGTTTGAGATTGTCATGGAAGCGCTTTTCATTCATATGAGTGCAATTTTGAATTTATGAACTGAGAGATGAAAATTTTTGTTTTTCGTATTGAAGCGATTTAAATTACGTTATTTTTTTTCATTATCATTATTAAAATTCACACAAATTAAAAAAGAAACAAAAACAACTCAATTTCAAATATTCGTAGAAAAAATTTGATCATATAGTAGCGTAATATATGAGACACATTGAATTCAGAAACCTTCAGATGAAAATGTTTATTTTTTTGTATTTAAGCTATTTCAATAGTTCATTTTGTTTTTATTGGCAATATTTAAATTCACTCAAATTATAAAACTATTAACGACTATTTAATTTTAAATTTTAATTGAACAAATTTTCATCAATATGGTGCCATCGAAGGAGAATTTTTTTATGAAAATGTGTAGTTGAATTGCTTTCCATAGTTTTGTGATTTGTAACTATTTATATTCTGTTTTTATTCTGGAGAATTCAACTGAACAATTCTCGTTTGTTCAGGTTCGTTCGAAATAAAAAAATCTGTTCATGTTCATTCGCGTTTAGTTCAAATTGTTCAAAATATGTAAACATGCCGTTCATATTCGGTTCATATTCGGTTCAAATTCGAATGAACCGAACGAACATGAACGGTTCAGTTCAGTGGGCACCTCTACCACCTACTCAATATTGAGAAAATTGGAGCATGTTGTGAGCTTATGTATATGCATGTTAATATATTATATCGTCTTGTTTCGTAGACGATTTATATTCCACGTGATAGTATAGCAACCTTCTCTTATACAATATAAATCAAAACGAAAGCGGTAAGATCGTAAGAATGGTGAAACAGAACTCCGAAAAACTAATAACGATAAACAAAATGTTACCGCGTAGTCATCATGTTAGAGATATTCTTATATTAAATTATAGACAAATTTAGGCTGATGAGAATCTTGCATAAATACACACAAAAAACATTTGTGGTAGATATACTACAATCTATGTTCACCAATAGTCTAGTGGCAATAGATATAGATGTGTCAAATCCGAGATGTTAATACAATTGTATGCTATTCACTATTAAGACAATCATTATACTCGTATCAACATGAGTATTATTTATTAAGATCGATCATAATACGGCATATTATAATGAGTATCAATTTCAAAACAAAACCAAAAATGATGAAATTTTAATAAAATAATAAAAAAATCAAATCAACCAATTTCAATTATAAGCTTAGAGCAGACTCAACTTAAAGTTGTGTTGAAAAGTCTCTATATTAATGTTAGATTTATAACATTACTGGTAGCGTTGAGTAACACATTATTATTGTAACGAAGCTTTGCCAGTAACGCTATAACAAAAGCAATAGCTATTACTGGTAATGCTAAAATCTAATGTTACAATTGTAATGACATTACTGTATTGCTTCGTTACAATTGTAATGTGTTACTGCAAAATGTAAATCTGTATATGGATTACTACTCACAACATAGAATTACTTGACAAAAATGATTATTCTAGTACTGCTCTGCCCCTAGTTTCAAAACAAAACCAAAAATGATGAAATTTTAATAAAATAATAAAAAAACCAAATCAACCAATTTCAATTATAAGCTTAGAGCAGACACAAACTCCATCTATTGTAAATATATTTAAAGTTTTATAAAGTCTCAATATTAATGTTAGATTTTTAACAATACGGATAACACATTGTTATTGTAACAAGACATTACCGGTATTAGCTATTGAAATTGTAATGTTAGATTTTAGCATTACATTAATAGCTATTATAATTTTATTAACTATTACAAACATTTATGTTAATGTAAATAGTTAGTAACATTACAATTTCAATGCTGGTAAATCTATAAATCCATATTAATCCATAGTAATACACACTTACGTAAATTCTAACAGCAGTGCAATGACGTTTCATGTGTACTTTGTGTATGACATTAACTAGGCATAAAGCGATCGCCGTATATTTCGGATAAGACATTTTATTGTTAAAAAATGGAAAATATCGAATTAAATTTAATAAATATCGAATAAATTGTTTCAATCCGCAATATACGACGATCGCTTTATTCCTAATCGTACACATGAAACGTTATTGCACTGCTGTTAGAATTTACACAAGTGTGTATTACTGCGGATTAATATGGATTACTACTCACAACATAGAATTACTTTAAACAAAAATTATTATTCTAGTACTGCTCTGCCCCTAGAAATGCACACATAAAACTGATTCTTCAGACTCAAATTAACTTTTCTACATTTGGTTCAATACTTTTTTTTTAAATGTGAAAATTTTGTATTGCTGAGTTTTTTGAATATGTGATGTAGCGTTGTATTGCCTCCAATTTTAACTCAATAAGAAAACAACGTTGTATTCGATATATCAACACAAAAGTGTAAATAAATATATCACGTTGTATTCGATATATCGACACAAAAGTGTAAATAAATATATTCGGCCATCACTTTTCATTAATGTCTCTATTCATTCAACTCACCTTTTATTATTATCGAATAAACCTAAAAAAGTGACAAAATTCATATTGATTTTTCCTTCCTCAAATTATTTTCATACATTTTTCACTATGGGTCTGATGGACCCATACTATACGTTTTTGTACTTAAGTCGTACTGTACGCAGGAGGGTTAAAAAATTTTTATTCGATTTACAAATACTATTAAATTTTCCGTATCATCTGGTGAAATCAGATTGAAAGAACTCGCATTCCTTATCATCACGATTGGCATTCGGTCACTATTCAATAGGTGTTATATGAGAAGTTTATATGAAACTCTCGGAGACTCGGTATCGTGATTTTGGTGATAAGGAATGCGATTTTTTCCATTCTGATTTCATCAGATGATACAGAAAATTGAGTTAAAAAAAATAATATATTATTAACTTCGGTATTATAATACTTGATACTCATTGTAATACGCCGTATTATGATCGATCTTAATAAATATTACTCATGTTGATACGCGTATTATGATTGGTCTAAATAGTTAGTAAGGCATTCGTGAGTAGTAAGTAGTAAGATATTTTAATACTTCTGTATTACTGGGACATCTATTGATGTCGTAGATCTACCCCAAATGTTTTTTGTGTGTATCTCTAGATTTTCAAAATTCAATTGGTAGTAAAGTCTTGAAGGTGCGTGTTGAGATAGCAAAATAAAATTCATTATAATTTTAACATGACATCATCAATGAAAGGAAAAAAGAAAACGAATCATTAAATGGGAATCTCAAGTAAAAATGTAAGAAGTATTTGCTGCATTCTTCCATTTTATACTGAATATATTTTGTGTTCATTGAACGTTGTTCAAGGTAAATTTGTATTGAATATGAAGAGCGTTGAATTTGAAGGGCAATTACACTGTCAAATACAAACACAACAAATGTTAGACAAATCACAACACGCATATGAATGTCCGAGAATGAAAGCGAGACTTCTATTCACAACTTATTGAAATGTAACACCGCCATACATTCTTATAAGTTTAAATTTTAGTGTCTGGGCTGTTGAAGTCTTTTGAACTACCAGTTGCATGTGTTTGAATAAAGTACAATCAATTGATCTATGCCAATGTCAAATTATTTGGAAATTAAACGTAAATAATTAAATTAGTCGTGTTAAGCTATTTATTGTGTAGTAAGTTGTTAGTTTGTTTTAAGAGATTAGAAGATGAAAAGAAATAATTGAAAATTGTATTTGCGTTAGCTATAGTTTCCTTTTTTCAAATCTACCAAATAGTAAAAATGTCAGGATTATCTCGTCATATGTGATGCATATATTTTAAATTAATTACACTCCAAACTGATTTAAACAAAAACGAAGAAACATTACTATCTGCTTGCTGTGCCTGCTGCCAAGCAGCTCCTGAGCAGCGTTAGCGGCATGTGTGCATGTATAAACTTATACATTGAAACAAAGTCGTTTTATGTGTGTACGCTGCACGCATATACGATACGACCAGTGATTGTACGCATGTGGCTAACGCTTTAAGGCAGCAGCCTGGGCAACAACGCTGCTCAGGAGCTGTTTGGTAGAAGCGCTGCGCAGCAAGCAAATATTAGTGTTTTAATACAAACTTCTAATCGTTAACAAAATTCCTTTCCCATCTACATTCAAAAATGAAAAAATAAAATACTTCTATTCACAACTTATTGAAATGTAACATCACCATACAAAAAGTGCAGTCAGTCAGCATACATTTCAATAAGTTGTGAATAGAAGTCTCGCTTTCATTTTCGGGCAATCAATTGTTTCTGTGGTTTTCATACATACCACAGGCAATGTACTGCGGACTTATATTTTTATTTCAAAATTGTTTATTGACTGATAGTGCTTATATTCAGTAAAGATTTTCATCTAATGGTTAGATAT